ATTGTGTGGTTTGGCAGTGCTTCGGCATCTAGTGCACCTGCAGCTCCGTAACCCGACACACCCTCAACAGTTGGTGTAGCCTCTAAGTCACTAAGGAACACTGTGAAAGCCTACAACAAGAAGTTCTGCAGCCTCTACGCCTCTCGACCGCACAGTCTTGCCATGGTTCAGGTTTGGGAGTGTAGAGTCCTAGCTTTTCTGGCTGAATATGTCAATAGAGAGTTTGGGGCAAGTCACGGGAAGGGTCGGAGGCCGTCCGAGGCCACTGCAGATGAGTGGCCCTGTAACGATACCAGACCGGAGACTGAACTGAACTTCGATATACCGACCTGTAAGCCGGATGGGAAGTTCGGCTCTCGTCTTTTCTGGGTTTAGGGTTTAGGGTTTAGGGTTTATAGGGTTTAGGGTTTAGGGTTGTAGATTTTCAAGATTAGTGCACTCCAATGCAACTTCCTCCTGAGCTTACCGCCTTTTTGGGCGTCAGGTGTCCTGGTGTACCAAATTCTCTGGCATCCTATTCCATGTAATGCATGACGGAAGCCCTTCGTATGCTGTGGATATTTACTGACAAGGGAACTCAATTCCGACTTTTTCTACAATTGAGGGCTGGCTTCACATCTGAATCCCAGAGACTCTAAGCCCAAATTCCGAACTCACTTGGCATCTCGCTGTCTTGCACAGGGACACGGGCCGAAAAGTGGGCCCAGGGTTACCCCAAGGGTCCAGATAGTATATACTATACAGGTACATGGACCCTTAAACCCTAAATCCTTGTAGGACCCTTAATAGGTAATTACAACCCTAAACCCTGAACCCTTGTACCCTTAGAGTTGCAGGCTTTGGGTCGGCTTCGGATTTGGGGAAGCGGGCGAGTTTCGGGTTTAAGGTGAGGTACATACAGGTACCTACTATATAGGGCCCTAGGCGCTCTAGTACCCTATATAGTAGGTACCTGGGGGGTTAGGGATACTTAAAGGCCTCTTTGGCATCGTTGATGTGTCCATGAAGACTTCCTCTGTACTTGAGGCTTTGAATCGAGAAGACTCTGCCGCAGGCCAGCTCGTGTAAGGCCTACAGTCCAATAGTTCCTTGAAGAGGTGGGGTTTGGGTTGAAGGGTTGTGGCTTAGAGTCCCTCAGCCCTAAACCCAAAACCGTAAACCCTAAACCCTAAACCCCAAAGCTCTGATAGGGTTTAGGGAGACGGCTTTTTTCGAGGGTAGCGGGTCAAACAGCGCCTCTAGACGAAGGACCCTACCCTACGGGTCCCTGATACTGTAGGAACCCTCAAAACTATGACTTCGGAAGCCCTAAGCCAGAAACCTAAGCCGAAACCCCAACAAACTCTAAACCCTGACCCCCAAACCCAAACCTTAACCCCAAACTCTAAACCCAAGTTGGACCTTTGAGGATTGTTTTGTGTTTGTGGAGGCCGGAGAGAACCGCTATATTATGTCATTAGACTAGGTTATCATAGTATGTTAACTTATAGGTTATGCGCTTTACCCTAGACCCTAAACAGACCCCAAACCCTAAGCCTAAACCCCTAAACCCTAAACCTATACTCTCTTAGACGATGTTGGGAGCTAGATTCAAAGTCTCCTGGCTTGGGGTTCAAGGGATACTTGGAGTAGGTAATAAGCAGACTTATACGTAACCTAAAAGGGACTCTAATTGAGGTTATGATACGTATAAGTCGATAAAAGAACTACTTAGTAAGTCCCCCGACCCTCCAAGTAGGTTCTCGGAGCCTACCAGGAAGGGGCCGCTTGCCTGGATGTGCTACTGTGTCATCCCGACAACATAGGGTTTGGTAGTGAGTTTAGTGAATCGTCGTTAAGGTTGAGCATTTTTACGGTTTAGGGTTTAGGGCTTAGCAGTGAAGTGGCTTGATATTAGGTTTGTGGGTTTAGGAACCTTAGCATGAAATCACAGTCTTTAGGCTTTCCCTCAAGGACGCTGATCTCTTGGTCTTCTCCGGACACGAAGCATCGCCTTCCTACGACAAGCGCCAGGGAAAGCATGGGTGCAAGGCATTCGGCAGTGTTTCAGTGGTCGAAGGCAGCGGAAGTTCTTCGACAAGAATCCTTCGTGTCAAAGCAGGGAGCCCAAGAAAGCATGACTGGTTTCGGTGCTACTGCAATCACGCGGGGCCAGAGTGGTTTCTCGAGGTTGTCTTACCTGACTGGTGCCCACAAAGGGAAGTCAGAGGGCAAGACCAACAGCGAGCTCGATGCCTTCTTTGACACGTGTGGAGCAAGGAGGGCTTCTCTACTGGAGTCAACCCAAACCCCGAAGACCTAGACCGTAAACAGTAAGCCTACTTGGAGGATCTTGGGACTTAGTAAGTAGGGTTATAAGTACCCCAATTGGGGTTATAAGTATAGTTACCTTGTTTATAACCTGAGTTACTAAGTCCCATGTTCCTCTAAGTAACCAAGGGAACCGCAGGCAGGCAGCGGTTAAGCCCGGTGTGCGACCTCTCTCCAGGCTTCCAAGCTTGTCGGCATACAGGTGTCGGAATAAGCAGTACAGCAGAGCATCCCCTTGTAGTCAATGTCATGATGATACTCGTAGCGACATCTAGCCCCGCAGCCCAATTGAAATTAGTCAGGCCTCTATAACCCTAAACCGTAAACCCCTAAACCCTACTTAAAGGATCATGGGACTTAGTAACTGAGGTTATAAATAAGGTAACTACACTTATAATTACTCATAACCCCACTGAAGTCCCAGGATCCTCCAAGTAAGCCAAACTTGCAAAGGCGTCCCTGGTGTCCTCTTTGGCCGCTACGCGATGGATAAGTATGGGACCGAGGACCTTTTCAGTTTAGGGTTCAGGGCTTCTTTATGGGGTGTCCGAAAATAGGGGACCCTAATATAGTACCGTAGAACATAGGGGACCCTAAAATAGTACCCCAAATAGTAGGATTTATTACAAAGATCCTCAGATAAGGTGGCGTAATTTTCGGAAACTCCCAAATCGGCTCTATGGAGGGTTTTCACAGGCTTTGTAAGGAGAACCATCAGGGTTCAACCACCCACATATTGTTGGGTTTCTGGGCATAGATGCCGTATTCAATAAGGTTTCAGGTTTTTGGTTTGAACTCTTAAATTATGGTTAGAGAGTTTACTATAACATCTTTCCAGAACTTTAAAATGTCCTAAACCCTAAACTAGCCTAAACCCTAAACCCTAAACTAAACCCTAAACCCTAGTCCTTTTGAGGGAGCCCGGAAGCCCCAGGGCAGTGACTTGGGAACCCGAGACTGCAAGCTTTCGCTCGCAAGAGCCCCTGTAGGGCTTAGGGCGTAGGGCTGAGGGTTTGGTGTAGGGTCCCTAAACCCTAAACCCTAAACCCTAAACCCTAAACCCTAAACCCCTGAACCCCAAACCCCAAACCCCAAACCCTAAACCCTAAACCCTAAACCCTGAACCCTGAACCCCAAATTCCAAAATCCAAAGACCCTGAACCCCAAGATGCCCCGAAGCCTTGAGGTGGAAAGCCCGGGAGGCTTAAACGTAGCTCCACAGCTGGAATCCTGAAGCCCGGACCCCTGTTTGGATCAGGGATTAGGGGTTTAGGGTTTATAGGGTTTATAGGGTTTAGGGTTTAGGGTTTAGGGTTCAGGGTTTAGGGTTTAGGGTTTAGGGTTCAGGGTTTAGGGTTTAGGGTTCAGGGTTCAACAGCTCCGGATGTTTCGAGTCGAGCTTGTACTGCTGCTACATGGGCCGGCCTTCGTTGATTTTTTTCTGGCGGAGAAAAAAGTCATATTCAACGAAGAAGGCAGATCATATTTCAAGGAATTGGCCGGCCTGGGCCGGCCTTCGTTGAATATGATCTTTTCTTCGATGAAACTGACTCAAAACAGCAGAAGGATCATATTCAACTGATGAATTAAGGTTTAAAGACATATGATAGAGAGGTTCAGGGTCTAGGGTTTAGGGTTAGGGCTTATAGGGTTAACCCTAAACCCTAAACCCTTATAAACCCTAAACCCTAAACCCCAAACCGGTTCTTCCGGCTCTGTTTGGGCGATTGGCTTCCAGGGGCTTCGGGGCGTCTCATGCTTGGAGCTGCGGCGGCTCAGAGTTCGAGATAAGCGGTGTGATAACTAAGGGTTCAAGTGTAGGGTTGAGGGTTTAGGGTTTAGGGTTTAGGGTTTAGGGTTTAGGGTTGAGGGTTGAGGGTTTAGGGTTTAGTATCGGATTTAGGGTGTAGGGTTTAGGGTTTAGGTGCTCTAAGTCAGGAGGCTTTGATGTGGAGTTGTAGGTTGTTTGCCAAGCAGAACCAAAGGGTGAATTTCTAAAATATCATCGGCGGCACCACTGCGTCGAACCAGGTGCTCCGCAGACGATCCTAGACGGCGATGCTCAGTGCAGTGTAGCCCGCTGTTGCACTTGCGTTTGGGTCGGCTTGTTTCGAGGCCAGAAACAGGACGGAACCAGTTACAGTTTCAGAGCCGTAGGACCTTCAAGTCTACACCCTAAACCCTGAACTTCTAAACCCCTAAACCCTCAAGCCATTAACCCCTAAACCCTAAAGCCATTAACCCCTAAACCCTAAAGCCATAAACCCCTAAACCCTCAAGCCATAAACCGCTAAACCCTCAAGCCAAAAAGCCCTAAACCCTAAAGCCATAAACCCCTAAACCCTAAACCCCTAAACCCTAAACCCTAAACTCCCCGAATCCTAAGCCCATAAACCCTAAACCCTAAACCCCCCGAATCCGGAGACACAGACCCTAGGACCTGATCCGGACATCAACTTTCACAGACCTTTTCTGAGCTTTATATACGGAATCAACCCTTACCTCCCTACCCTAAACCTTAAACCCTAACTCCCTAAGCCCTAAACCTTGAAAGGTTTAGAGGTTTAGAGGTTTAGGGTTTAGGGCTCAGGGATTAAAGTCCTAAAACCTAAACCATTCAAGGTTTAGGGCTTAGGGATTAAATCCCTAAACCCTAAACCCCTAAACCCTAAGAGCCTTATTGAATCCAGGAGAAGGGCAACCCGTGGCCCCTGATTACTGCGGCCTTAGCTTCCCTGATGTACCAGGCGGAGGGCGGGCGGATTTTTCTGGGTTGCCGTGAAGGAGCTTCTTTAAGTCATCATAATAAGGAGAGAGAGAGAGAGAGAGATATATATATATATATGTATGTAGTGGTATATGTATATATATATATATATGTATATGTATATGTATATGTATTTGTATATGTATGTATGTGTGTATATATATATATATATATGTGTGTATATATATAAGGGCTCGGCAAGACAAGTAAGATA